TGCAGCGGGCGGGGTGGGTGACAGAGTCTGTGAGAGTACTGAGCAATTCTGCCAGTTTACACATGACAACTTCCCAACCGGGAAAGGCGCATCGGGAACTCGGACCCGACTTGTACCGGTTCTTGTTTGTTCTTGCTCTTCCAATCTGCCCAGACCGTGCCCGGGCTGCTGTCAGAATAGTGCACAGACAGGCGGGATACTCCCCGGCACCCCAACTTCCAAGCCTCCGACCCAGGAGATAGCAATCTGAATTGACAGAGATAGCCAGAGTCGATATTGACGATAGCTGCTGGTCCGATATCGTCCTCTTTCTCTGCCTTTATCCACCCTCACTCGCCCTGCATCTGGGTACCTGTTCCCACGTTGTCCACTGCATTAATAGAGTAGCCAAGAGGAAGTCTCCATTGATGACAAGACAGAAAACCCAAAAGTGGAAATTCTAGGTGAAAATTGGGTCACCAAGCAGGTGAGCACCAGCCTAAGTGGCTGCTCTGAGGTCAAAAGGCGTGGGACTGTGACTAATCATATATGGTGGCCATGGGATGGGTAGGTGCAGTGTGCAGTTGCTGCTGCACACACGTTTGGCCCTTCCTCCCTGCCGTGGCCGTGGCAGAACTCAAGATTAACCTGCCGAAGAATCTTAGAAGCTCATGATCAGACGAACACTCGTACCTGAGCAATTACGTGGAGAGACTGACTCGCGGATTTCCAGAAAATAAAAGTTGCTTTCCTTCTCAGTCGTCGTTCCCTTTCGTAAGTGCTCATCTTCAATATCGCCCATATCGCATCACCACCTACAAGTTGTAGCAATGCCCGAATCCGAAGCCAAGAAAGCGGCCAAACCGCCTCTGAAAGTCGAACTTGCACTACCCTCCGTATACCAGGGACACGGCTCTTACACTGAAAGCTCGAAAGGGGTCCGGGACGTCCAATTTGTGATGCCGGGATCACGGCCTAAGCAAGGTGAGCGAGGCTTTGTTTCTCGATGCCCATCGAGGCAACCAGATCGCAACTGATCATTCTTGCAGTCGATGTTCTCCAAGTAGACTCAACGGCTACATCGCAACCCTTCATTGACCCGGCTGTCTTTCAAAAATGGAGCGACAGGTCTTGATATCTACGTCGCCTCAAGTAGTACTATAGAAACTCAACCCCGATCTTATCGTATGCACTTTCGGGATTGCGACTGTCCATCACTGTCTTGGCAGAGATGCTTCATCCCGGATCCGAGCGCTAGGTGGCTGTTCCGGAACCTTTTTAGGCCCGGTAACAAAGCAGGTGCCTCTGCCCGCCGCCATCTGTCAAACTCGAGGCGCTCTAGCAAATAAAGTTGGGGAAATATGGGCACGCGTGCGCTCCGGTAACTGTGGCCGGCATCTCAAAACCCCAGAATTCCTCCCCGCGGCTCAATCTCGACCACTCTGGGATCCGATCCGGTGTCTGGTCTTAGGACCGTTCGGCTTGAGACCTGCTTGGCCATGATCCACTCTTCAAGGAAGACTGATGAACGTCGGAATTCACGTGGGGCCAAGTCCTCGGATTTGGAGTTGCAACAGTCCCACGTCCGGTCAGATCGATATTATCACACAGAGGTTCCGTCACAACTTTCATCCCAAATTTGGAATTCATCCAGCGACGGATAATTAGGATTGGATTTGCTGCATCGCCATCACTCTTTTGAGCACGAAAGGATTCGCGACTGCACACAGGACGCTAAAGTCTCACATCTGAACAAAGTCCCAACTTCCAAAGTCCCAATTCTCAAGCACTTCCCGCGAACACCGTCAGCACAATGCGGGCTATCGGCCGGGGATGCTGCTCGACTGGGCGAGAAGTGTAGTATCCACCCTCCGGGTCCCTGCCCGGAACCGACCCACCATGCCCACTCCAGCTGGGGTGAAACGGGGGACATAAGCCAGCTTTATACGCAGATTTCAAAGCAATTGGTAGAATTGGTTTCGAAGGATCGAGGGTGAGCATTTCCCTAGTCAGGTCGTCTCAGAGTTTCTCCCCGCGTCCACTTTCCGCGTGCGGGGTTCCGGGCACTAGAGAGCGTGGCGTTGACCATCGGCATGTCGAAAAGGGCATGGGTTTGGAATTAACAAAGTGTTCCACGTAGGTCGGGTGGCTACCTTTCACAACAGTATAAGAATCCAATGCTCAGCTGAATTTGGTTCAAATTTGCCTGCCCTTGAACCTACCTGCGTTCTCCCATTGCCTCCATCTACCTTACCTCAGTTCCGATACCCTTATCAAGAATCTCGGCTCGATTCTCATACTCTTTTCAAGCCATGTCGACGCAAACAAACGGTGACACCCCAGCTGGGGACTACACTGTTCCCTTCTTCCTGGATGGAGAAAAGGTCATCGCAAACAAGACCTTTGACGTTGTATCACCCGCTACCGGAAAGGTCATTCACAAGTGTGGCAGCGCAACTGAGGAAGATGCCTTGGCCGCAGTTGATTCCGCAGCCAAAGCCTTCAAAAGCTGGAAGAAGACTACGCTCGGCCAACGTCAGGAGATCTTCCTCAAGGCTGCTGCTATCATGGAGTCTCGGAAAGAGGAACTGGCCCGCGTCATGTCTGAAGAGACGGGTGCTGCTGCAGGCTGGTCAGAGTTCATCTTGGGTCTAGGCATCGGCTGCCTCAAAGACGTCGGCGGACGCCTCCTCACCATCCAGGGCTCTCTCCCAACAACCAATGATCCGAACGTGAGCGCAATGGTCCTCAAGGAACCCTACGGGGTCGTCCTCGCTATTGCCCCTTGGTCAGTATATCAGCTATACTTGTAAGGGATTAAACAGCTAACACCCAATCAGGAACGCCCCGTACATCTTGGGAGCAAGGTCAATAGCATTCCCCATCGCCGCTGGCAACACTGCCGTTCTCAAGGCCTCAGAATTCTCCCCTCGAACCCTGGTTGAGATGGTCTCTTGCTTCCACGAAGCCGGCTTGCCCAAGGGTGTTTTGAACGTCATTGTTCACGAGCCGGCCAACGCTGCTGCAATTACATCATCGCTCATCGCCCACCCTGAGGTCAAGAAGATCAACTTCACCGGCAGCACAGGCGTCGGCCGCATCATCGCAAAGCTGGCAGGTGAGAACCTGAAGCCAGTACTGTTGGAGCTGGGAGGCAAGGCCCCGGCCATCGTATGGGATGACGCCAACCTCGAGCTGGCCGCAGATCAGTGCGCAGTTGGCTCTTTCCTTCACGGAGGGCAAATCTGCATGAGCACTGAGCGCATCATTGTCCACAAGAAGATTAGCGAGCAGTTCCAGTCAAAGCTGTCGGCCTCGATCGAGAAGATCTTTCCGTCGCAATCCGATGCGCCTGTGCTCATCAACGCGGTGGCTGTTGAGAAGAACAAGAAGCTTGTCAAGGATGCCGTCAGCAAGGGCGCTGCCCTCGTTGCCGGCGACGTTGACGCTGAGCAGACGTCAAAGACAAGACTGCGGCCCATCGTCATCAAGAACGTCACAACCGACATGGACATCTACAAGACGGAGTCTTTCGGCCCTTCCGTAGCGCTCTTTGAGGTAGAGACCGAAGAGGAGGCGATCAAGCTCGCCAACGACACAGAGTACGGCCTGACATCTGCCGTCTTCACAGAGGATCTGCGGACAGGTCTCCGCTTCGCAAAGGAAATTGAGTCGGGCGCCGTCCACATCAACAACATGACGGTCCACGACGAGCCTGGCCTGCCCCACGGCGGAGTCAAGTCGAGCGGGTTTGGCAGGTTCGGCTCCTCTGGTCTGGACGAGTGGGTGAGGACCAAGACGATTACCTTCCGGAACTGAAGTTTGGTGGTGTGCTTTTCATAGCGTCTAGATACCTTGACCCTGTCTGAATGGAAAGAAGGGGCTTATTTCACGGCTCTATCTGGTTCCGATGCAAATGCTGTGTATCCATCAATGACTTATTGGTTTCCCTCGCATCTTGCGGCACGATTGTATGACAACACTGTTACGAATAGAACCCACGTATCTCATAGACCAGACACTACTCCGTAATTCCCACTATCTGAAAAATCGATGAGGTGTCAATAGAGTGGTGTTGATCGTTATCAGCCAATGACGATCATGGGGAAGCATTGCCATGTGAGTGCATAGTTCGACTTTGGCTACCTCGTTGCGTTACACGATCGGCGCATTCATATTTTGCCCCTCCACCCCTCCAGAATATTGGGCAGTTCAATTCCGCGGTCGATCATAGGTGGGAAGCCACGTCGGCAACGACGGGAGCCGCGACAACACATACGGGAAGTTTCGCTTGGCGCAGGTAGGTCAACATGGACATAGCTTTCAATGCCCCAATTGACTTTCAGCCACTGGCGGAAACTGAATTCTAGCATGCTGCATAAAGACGGGCGGCATATTGCTGACAGCAACACTTCAATCATTGGTCTGCCATCGCCAGTACGCCTCCTCCCCGCAATTGCAATTCTGGAGTCAGAGTTCGAGGGGAATTGCTTGCGGCTTCGTTGCAGTGGGTTCAGAAACGGAGATTTTGTCCTGCCGAAAAGTTCGCGACATGTCACAATGAATACGACAACTGCGCACCTTGATTCTTAACTCCCCGGGTGAGGTGTGTGCCCCTGAATAATGTGGTCAGATGGAGTAGGACCCTATATCCCCTAACTCCCCTAATACCCATGTGATATTCAGGGAAAGCGCACGTTTCCAACGCAAGAAGTGAAGCTGGGAATATGGGCCGAGTCTCTTCTCGTGGACTCTGTGTTGAGATGCGCCGGCAGTCTGATACCCAAGTGTGTAAATGGGAGCAATGAAGACATAATAGAAAGGTCAAAATGCGAGTGATAAGACGATTGGGCTGAACAGCAGTCGTCCGTGCGGACCCTGTCAAGCTCCCGATAGAATTGACGCTAAACCCATTTGGTAGACAAGCTCTCGGGATCCTTGCATCACAAATTCGAGTCGCATCTTGAGAATCTTCAAGGCCGACTGACATTCCCACTCGCGATTGTCAGCAATCCCGCACAATGCTTCCCGCACGGTCTCTCCGATCAGCCTTCCGTGCGGTACCGATCTTCTTCCGTAGCCCGGCAGCGGCACCGAGACCACAATGCCTCCAGAGACGATGGTACGCCGAACAGAAAGCCGCACCACCACCACCACCACCACCATCACCGGCCGCAGTCGCCGAAGATGACCTCCCCGACCACCGCAAGCTGGGTGTTCAGCAGGAGCTCTTCACCTCTTCCATCTACAGCCCTGGCTCCCCGATATTCCTCCCGAACGGCACGCGAATCTTCAACCGACTGGTCGATTTCCTACGACGGCAGTACGTCCACTACGGCTTTGACGAGGTTATCACGCCAAATATCTACAAAAAGTCGCTGTGGGAAGTGTCGGGCCATTTACAAAACTATGCCGACGATATGTACACCGTCACCAGCCGCGCGCGCGCCCCCGAGGAGAAGACGAGTTGCTGCGGCGGTGCTCACGGAGACCAGCCTCACGAGGGAGCCAGCGGCGAGCAGGCCACCAGGCAAGCCGAGGGCGAGGACGATGACTACGGCCTCAAGCCCATGAATTGCCCGGGCCACTGCCTCATCTTCGCCTCAAAGAACCGCAGCTACCGCGATCTGCCCATCCGCTACGCCGACTTCAGCCCGCTGCACCGCAACGAGATCTCGGGCGCCCTCAGCGGCCTGACGCGCGTGCGCCGCTTCCACCAGGACGACGGCCACGTCTTTTGCCGCCCGATCCAGATCCAAGAAGAAGTCTTCAAGACGCTCGACTTCATGAAGACGGTCTACGGCGCGCTCGGGCTCGAGCAGTTCGACTTTGCCCTCTCGACCAGGCCCGCGGACCACTACATTGGCACCGACGCCGAGTGGGCGCGGGCCGAGTCGCAGCTGCGCCAGGCGCTGGAGCAGGCCGGGTTGAAGTACACCGTCAAGGAAGGCGACGGCGCCTTTTACGGCCCCAAGATTGACGTGATGCTGCACGACTCGCACGGCAAGTCACACCAGGCCGGCACGATCCAGCTCGACTTCCAGCTGCCGCAGCGCTTCAACCTCGAGTACCAGGCGCCCGCTCCCGCGCTGGAGGCGCAGGGCCTGCCGCTGGACGGCGCCGACGTGTCGGCGGCGGACCTGGAGACGTACGGACCGGTGCCGCCCGTCATGATCCACCGGGCCATCCTGGGGTCCGTCGAGCGCCTGATGGCGCTGCTGATTGAGGAGTACAAGGGCCGGTGGCCGTTCTGGCTGAACCCGCGGCAGTGCGTGATCCTGACCATCAACGACACGGAACCCGTCATGAGCTGGGCGTCCGAGGTCAAGGATATCCTGACGGGCCACGACCGCGTGCGGGACCCGGCGAACCCGCGACAGCCGCGCCCGACGGGCTTCGCGGTCGAGATCGACGCCAGCGCGCGGTCGCTGGCCAAGAAGCTCAAGGAGGCGAGGGAGAAGCAGCCCGGGTTCATTTTAGTGGTGGGTAAGGGCGACGTTGCGGCCAAGCAGGTGACTGTCGAGGCGACGGACGGCCCTTCAGAAGGCTCGGGTGCGGGCGTCTCGAAGGGAGCTCGGCAGCAGATGGATCCCCTGGCTTTGCTGGGGAAGATGCAGGAAAAGGTGGCGACGTATCAGTAGATGATGGTTGTTCGTGCGCGCGTCCGCCCATGTAAAACAGATGTAGAAATGTACACTACCACTACAACAAACGCCGGCTTAGCGGGTTTTGTATTATAGTCATGATGAACGCAGGCCAAGCCTCCTCCAGCCTTTATTAGTCGTCTTAGACGACGGACCACCTCCATTCACACTTCCGTTCCCAAGGTATATCCTCACCGGTCATCCTCAACTCCATGAAACAATCCCATTGAAAGAACAAAAAGTCAACAACGCAGCACACACACCGCCCTCCCGTTCCATCACCTAGTCCTATTGGAAGTGCTGTTCGCCTGCTGATGGAACAGTGGTCTACAACAGACTTTAGTATGTGAAAGGATCATCGCATTATCGGGGCTCACTCACCGCTTGTACTTCTCGTCAACCTCGCCTCCAGAACTCTCAATGCGCTCGACCAATTCCTGACGCTGCCTGAGCTGCTCCTTCATAAACTCCACAGTTTTTTTCAGAACGAGACCCTCAGAGCGGCCCTGACCTTCGAGGCCGGGGACCAGCTCCGTCAGGCGGTCGAAACCCTCGCGGATGGCCTGGCGTCGCTTTTGCTCTGCCAGCGAGCAGTGCGTGTTAGCGGATTTCGTCGAATGCGCTGAAAGGGCGTGAAGGGGACAGTAAAGGCGTGTATGCGCGCAACGTGTATGAAAGCTTTGCAGTTACTGTAAAAGGGGAGATCGTAAAGACGTACCGGATGCGATGTGGTTCTGCTTCTTCTCAGCCTCGGTCAGGCGCGGCTTCTCTTCTGGCTGCTCGGCATCCGCGGCCGCTGAAGGGGAATTGGACTTATTTGGGGAAGACATTGCGGCGGGCACATTCAGTTTCTATAGGCGCGCGGATGCAACAAACGAGGGGGGTATTATGAGTGGAAGTGCTCCATGTATAACAAAGCTGTCGGTGCCTTTACTAGGGAGTTGACGTCGAAAAGAGAGGAGACTGGGGTATATGTGAGTGTGTGTATGAGTGAAGGAGTTTGTGTGTGTTTCGCACGATCACATGCCGTTTCGCACCAAAGCTCTGAGATCAGATCCCCCTCCAGACTTTCCTCCGCATTGCGATTTGCGGGATTCGCAGAAAGCCACCACCACCCCTGTCCCGTAAGGTTCCTGCAGCACGTTTGTTTCCGCCCGCAGGGCTACGGATAGCTGCCACTGGGAACAGGAGCTGAACCTGTCGCCCAACGCTCCTTGGGGAAATACATACATGCCATGCCTCATCTTTTCACACCTTAAAGCATGGTACCTTAAGTACCTACCTAGCGCAGAAGGCACACAGTAAAGACAGATAAGATAAGCCCAAGAAATCACCATGGAACTGCGTGGATCTGGCGGGGTCGGCACGTCCCAAGCTTTCAAGGCTGTGTGACCTCATTGGCATTGGATCGGGATTGATTGCTCATTCAGAAATTCTATAGCTTGCCGGCCCACAATCCGCTATCCGTACGCAGTCGACCTCCTTTCTTTCCGATAGCTGCACTTTAGCCTTACAAGTACATACTCTCAAAAGGAACAAATCCAAGATTCCTTCAGAACACCCAATTGATACCGAAACGTCTCCAACTTCCGCACAGATCAAGCGCTTCACTCTCCACACAAAACACACACCTAGACGCCCACCACCAACACCGCCATGGCCGACGTAAAGACCTCCTCCGACCCCCCACCCGACTACACAAAGGCCACCGAGCACCTCACCCGGCCACGAGCACCCTCCGCCGCTGCCGGCGGTCCCGGCGGCCCACGAGGGCCGCTGCCCCTCAACCTCCCCGTCCTCTCCTACCTCAAAACCAAGCGCGTGATCCTCGCCTCCGCCTCTCCGCGGCGGCGCGCTCTCCTTGCCCAGATCGGCCTCAAGGACCTCGAAATCACACCCTCTACGAAGCCCGAGGACCTCGACAAGTCAGCCTACGGCCCTTACGAGTACGTCTCGGCCACGGCCCGCCAAAAGTGCCTCGACGTCTACGAGACGGCCCTGCAGACGCACCTCGCCTCCATCCCGGACCCGGACCTCGTCATCGCCGCCGACACCGTCATCGTCACCCGCGACGGCCGCGTCCTCGAGAAGCCGAGGAGCGAGGCCGAGCACATCAAGATGCTGCGCCACCTGCGGGATACCCGCGTGCACAGGGTCCTGACGGCCGTGTGCGTCGTCGCGCCGAGGGAGGACGCCAGGTCGCCGGGCTACGAGATCTGCCAACATACGGAAGAGACCAAGGTTTACTTTGCGCAGGAGGCCAACGGCCTGCCGGACGACGTCATCGAGGCGTACGTCAAGACGAGGGAGGGCGCGGATAAGGCGGGCGGGTACGCCGTGCAGGGCATGGGCGGCATGTTGCTCGTCGAGAAGATTGAGGGCAGCTTCGATAACGTGGTTGGCTTGCCGGTGCGGCAGACGCTGGCGCTGGCGGAGAAGGCCATCTTCAAGCAGGATGAGGAGGAGGTCGCAGAGGACGAAGAAGAGGACCTGATGTGAGAGGTTTGCCCAAAAAGAAAAATAGAGATGGAATAAGAAGACCTGCTAAGTACCCCGGCCGCCTCCTTAATACGAGGAGGAAACACGTTTAGAGAGGGCGCGAAGTTGGCGAGATGCCCTAGTTCATGGCCTTCAAGTTAGATGATGAAATGAGCTTCATCTCGACATACAGCTAAAAGCCGGGTATACTGCATAATAATAGCTCATGAGTGATAAACAATTGACGCGGGCTCACTCGCCAATCCCAAGCACAGATTACACACACTGCCAATGAGTAGCCACGTCATTGAAAATGCTGAACGACATCAACCTCAGTACAGTGGCTTTCTGTCACCAATGATAACGTAAGGCAGTCTTCTATCATCGACTAGGTACTTTTTCGCATTTCCTTCGCCGAGTCAGTAAGTCTACTGGCAAACGTCAACAACAGAACCTTGCTATCGATTATCTCTTCGTGCAAAATAACGTATCTAAATCCAAATAGACGTGCTACTCAACCTTGGTTTGGAAAACTGAGTAAGATAAGCCCTTCCTTTCTGCCTCCTTGATAGCTGGGTGGCACTTCTTCGTGGCTGAAGATTCTAAAGTCCATCCTTCGATGCCTAAATGTTTCCTGCTTCTGTGCTTTTGTCACAGTACTAGTTGGCTATTAATGAGAATTCAGAATTTGGCGTCACTCACACAAAGACCTTCAAGCAGCCAACCAGCATCAAATCAGCTTGTATCAACCCTCATCTGCACGACCCATATAAGGTACAGAGGGTAAATTAGCCCAGATGAAAGGACGACGTACCGAGGCTACTGTCCCCATCTTACTCGAGCTGCTAGTCACCGTCTCTGACAGCAATGTGGGCTTGGAACCTCAGGGAGACTGTGACTTTAGGGAGAGCTGACCGGCATCTTTCTAGGCCCGTCGTCTGCTGATGTAAGACTTCGATCCGAAACGACTCTCTGAAATTGGTTGCGCATCCTTACAATGGCCTTCGCTTCTCATCTGAGTACTTCTTCTAAGGCTGCTATTATTTTGATCCGGAATAGCTGGTCGTTTTGTGCATCCATACTCCACCAAACCTCAGCGATATGCTGAATGTCGGCTTTCATGAATATACTGTCTAGAGAAATAATGGCTGGGCGGATCTTATTCACGGAGCCACACGGTCTGAGTCTGATAAGACGGAGCTGTACCTCCTAGGTAGTTCCAGACGCCAAGCATAGCACAAGAGTCTCGGGGGCTGAAAAGCCACGAGCCCCGAAAAATGCTTCCTGCGGGAACGGGTATCACGCGCTTGGCAAGGGGGGGAGGGGGTCCCGTAGGTAGCCTTGGTAGCTGACCCGGGCCGATATGTAAGGGGTCGTCTGGCGGGCAACGGTGAAGAGAGACAATGATGGCGTCTGCGCTAAGTGTATCTCAGATGATTCAGAAACATTACCAGGTGCTTGTGTGGTTGTGTAACATATACAGGGCGTTAGACTGACGCGATGGGCTTGGCATGGAATGGGAATATTCTTGTGTAACCATCTTATGAGGACGAAATAATAAGCCATTGAGGGGGGTAATTTGACTGTAAATGTGTAGAATTTCCTTGCCAAAGGGAGGTACGGTTGGTATTTGGCTGCACTCAGTAACTTATTCTTCCTTGACTTTGAATCCGAGGGCCATTCGTGTTCAATCGCGACGTCGTCTTCTGGAATGCCCCTAAGTAGACCTCAAAGCTCTGATCATATTGTGTATAGTGTTTATTCATGTAAAGAAAACTCCCTGACTCCTAGGTAACATTCAACGTCCCCAAACACGTGCACTGCGGGTATTGATGACTCCAAGATATCTGCGATATCATCCGTTGTGAAGTAGATGCCACCATCGGGTATTGCGTGTGCCTGTAACATGCCTCTTGGTATCTTTCCCAAGGGATCGCCTATTAATATTACTAACTGATCTGTCACATCTCTGCGTCATCGTGAAAGTCTTCCTCGCTTCAAGACTTTGTCGGCCGTTTGAGGGGATGAGCCTCCGTGTTGAAAACCCATTCATCCAAGTTCAAAAGCTCCGGATCGGAGAAGATGAGGTAAAAGTACTTTAACGTCTCAGCAAAGAAGAAGCTCTCCATGGTATCCTCCTGCCGCGACTGGCTGTACGTCACATCGACGACGACAGCGTGGGCGTCGTCGGTCTGCGTAGCTTTTTGGACGGCCTCAAACATGTCCCACGCCATATCCAGCAGGTCCGCCTTGCCGGTGACCCGGTACAGCACAAAGAGGCTCTCAATGGCCTCGGGACGCAGGTTGTAGTGAGCATCGTCGATGCGCCAGAAACCCCTGGGCGCGTGCTGGCTGCTCTGCGCCACCCACTTCTGCTCGTCCCACTCGCACACCTCGACGGTGTCGCACTTCACGACCTGGGATTTTTCGGGCATGAGACCGCTCTTGAAGGACTTATACGCCCACGCGCAGCCCCGCGCGAGCTTGTCGCCGAGCTCGACGTCGTCGGGTATGTCAAA